AAATTAATCAAAAATCATTTTTAAATATAAACTATTCAAATATTTACCTGTTGTTTTATGAATGTTGAAGAAATTTGTTCCATTTCCTCCTGTTATATTGTATTCTATTTCTGCATTGATACCGGTATCCTCATTATCTATTGCTGTAACTTTAAGCACGGATAATCCAATTCCAGAATTTTGTGGTAATGGTGAAAAATAAAAGGGTTTTTCAAATATGGGTGCATTATTGTTAGAATCGACGATATTAATTATAACGTCGACTTCCGAAGACATGGGCGGTTGACCATGATCTGTAGCCACGACGCGCAAGATGTGCTGGTTTTCTGGAGCAGCATAATGCAAACTATGCTTGTAGTGCAAGGTTTGTTTACTCATTATTTCTCCGCTGGCAGGGTCGATACGAAATAAGTCAGAGGGACGCTTTAAATTGTAACTAATGACTGAATTAGGGCCTTGTTTGTCTTGGTCGACAGCCGTTACTTGTCCTACAAATGATACTGCTCTCTGAAGCTCTGCAATATTGAAACCATAAACACTGTTACTGAATTTTGGCGCGTTGTCATTCACGTCTTGAATTGATATTGTAAGGGGTGTTTCTGCTCTCCATGATCCATCGACTGCGGCAACTTTTAACAAATATTCGTCTTTAACTTCTCTATCTAACCATCCAACAATTGTTACGTTGCCAGAAACGGGATCAATGTGAAATTTTCCACCGGGATTTTCTGTAAAACTGTAAGTAGCATTGGCATTCATGTCGATATCCTTGTCAGAAGATGTAACCTGAATAACAAAAGTACCGAGAGGTGCATTTTCTGTAACATTTACACTGAAAAGTCTAGTAAAGCGAGGAGGATTGTCATTCTTATCCAACACAGTTACAAGAACAGTTGCTGTACCAGTTTTCGGAGGATTGCCTCGATCAGAAGCTTGAACAATTAATTTATATACTTCTATACTTTCTCTATCGAGCACCATATTTGTATATATTTTACCAGTCTTAGCATCCAGAGTGAAAGGATTAGTGGCATCAGTAGACTGAATTAAATAAATTATTTCACTATTCTCTCCTCTATCGGCATCGTGAGCTTCTACACCAATAACAAACTGTGGGGGACTCTGTTCTTCTATTATCGTAGCATTATAGACATCGAAAGCAAATATAGGTGCATTATCATTTGCATCTGTAATATCAATATCTAACCTCACAACACTTGAAAGAGGAGGAGTATCGCTATCTCTAGCTTCTATCCATAATTCATATTTCGGTAAAACTTCATAATCTAATCCCTCAGTAATCCACACCTCGCCAGTATTAGGATTAACCGAGAATACATTTTCGACATTTCCACCTCCGATATGGTAAGTAATTTTACCGTTTTCTCCCATTTTTCTAGATGATGCTTGTACCGTGGTGAGAAGAGCATCCTTTGTTGTTTCTTGGAGAACAAAATTGTGCACACCGGGATGAAAATAAGGAAAAAGATGAAGGGGACGCAAAAAAACTTCCACATTAATACTGGATGAAAGAGGAACATTTCCACTATCAGTAGCATGAATTTCTAAATGATATCCTTCGGATCTGTTAACCATTTTTTGAATTAATTTCAAAACACCCGTATCTTGATTAATTTGAAATTTATCAGCATCGGTTCCGGAGAGATGATACACCAGACGACTGTTCAGACCGACATCATGATCTTCGGCATGAGCACCAAACACAAAGTGACCTATAAGGTAATGATAAGAACATTAACATTACTGTTCTTAAATTTGTAACTTTGTATATATTTAAATTTTCTTTTATAAAATTTAAAGAATAATTTAAGGTTATGGATATAATAATTGTTATTTATTCTGAACTATTGTTTACTTATTAAATATACAATAATCCAAAAGTTAATTAACTGTGTTTTAAGTTATTTTATGTGTTCTAAATACATTTATGAATATATATTATAAATTAAATTTGTTAAGGCATGCAACTTATTTATTAGACAAAGTTTCTAACTAATAGAATATTTGAATAAGATAGCAATTTGGACTTTACAATGACTAAATGACTTAGACTATCCTTTATGTGTTTAAGAAAACTACAGAAATTTATATCAGGTATTGCTTGATGCAGACTTTGATCCAGCTTTAATCGATCCATTCAGCATAAATAATTGTGATACTAAGATTGATTGAAAATGCTCTAACATAAAATATTTATACAATAAAGAATTTTGAATTAAATCTAATTTTAATTGGTTTTACACATGAATAATTAATCGAAAAAATTAATTTCTAACTTTATGGTTGAATTTATGAAAAGATCTGCTTCTTACATTTTATTCTCAATGTGCTGAAATCATATAACATACGAATGATTTACTTTTTGATAAAAAATTGCAACAAACTAACAATTATAAATATTACTCGATTAAAATCTTATGAACAGCGACTTGTAACTGAATTTTAATTGATTACGCCAAATAATCTTGTCAAAATTATCAAGTAACTTTTTGGTTACGTTAATATTTCCAGCTGTCTCATTATGATGTCATTCAGGAAAGATGCAAGTAATACAAGTACATTTGTAATCATTTACAATTATACTTACTTAATTTTCATTATAAATAGTAAAATTGGTTCTTTGAGATGGAAAATAAATGCTGGAGGTTGCAAACACATTCCAATTAACATAATATTAACCAAATTATATCTTGTTTTTATCATTTAGCCTATGGTTTCATTATTTCTCGTTTCATACAAAATTGCAGTTTCTGAGAACCTACTAACGTTAAGCAAGGACTTGCCGTATATACTACATAACTTTAAACAACTGTCTAATAGAGATTTGAAAGCATTATGTTCACTAGTATGGCATACTAAATTATAAATTTTATATTTCTAGAAAAGAATTTTTCTTGAAACATGAATGGTTTGAAATTACAGGTTCAAATTCTTTTCTAAAGAAACCTACTCGGACATGCAACAATGTTCAGATAAAATTCATTAGACGGATAATATTCTATAGAACCGGAGCAGTTGGAATGTACGAACAGATTATATTATAGAGTATGAAATACAGTCTAAATACATACTTATTGATATAAATTAAACAGATATAGCATTTCTAGATGAGTTATATTATCTGCATTATTATTTTATTTTTAAGTAAATTAATAATAAAAACACTAATTCTCAAAAGTTCAAAATATAAATGGAAAAATATATTAATAATAATAAATTATAGAGAAATTCAAAGAAATGGCCACAATGGAATTTTTATTTTTGTAGGCGTCGTCACTATTTTCAATCAAAATTGAGGCATTGAAAGGAAAATTGTCAAAATAGAAAAATTCTAGTCTTTTAAATAATTATTTTCATTAATTTAGATGGATTAATTTATTATTTACACAAGAAATTTATCAAAAAACTGTTCCATTATTTGTTTCCTTTATATACATTTGCAATAAAAACCAGTTTTAATAAACTTCTGGCTTATAAGATAAGTAATTACTATATTTATTCCATATAAGAGACAAGTTAATTTAAGTTTTAAGAAATAGTTTTTATTTGCTGTCCACTCTATCTATGCTTTCGATTAACAGACCTATCAAACAAAACTTCCGTAGGAGTATACCGTAAATATGTTTATATTTGAATTAACCTATATTTCTTGGAATTCCATCAAATTTAAATTTAAAAAGTAATCTTATAATGTATTATGTTAATAACAGAAATCAATGACACTCCTACATGTAATTGTAATTCCTTCTTTAAATTCTAGTGGGAGTTAGTAAGGACAACTTGTCTTTACATTCTTTTGGTAATATTTCCCAATTATTATCTGGATGAATGCTTAATTTATTCAAAAAATGGTTTAAATAAGTTATAATTCATAATATATAAGGGTTACTAAGTTAAGGAGCATATAAGGACTTCATCTTTGAATTATAAATTATAGCAAGTGTATTCTAAGGAAATTAATCTGCTTAGGTTAATATTCAATAAATAATAACACAATTATTAAAACATTGTTTTCTTCTGTATTCTTTCTATTTGTTGACAATATCCTTTATTTAATTTTCTAGAAAACTATAAAAATTACTGTTTGACAGACAGGATTATTGAATATTCTTATAAAAGTGAACTTGACTCATTGTAAATTAAGTCACAAAAAAGATAAAGTGGGTTACTTTATTGTATAAAGAAATGAGTTAATGAGAATTGAGTAAATTAAATTTTTTAGAATTAATTGCAGGTGTTTATATATATTAATATCAATAATATATAATATATATAACAGTTTTTAATTCAAAATTTTATTTACCTCCTACGGCCATTTCGGGAATGTAAATTGTATAACTATCTTTGGCAAACTGCGGTTGATTATCATTTTCGTCGCCAACTAGAATTGTAACGACGACACTGGCAGAATTTTCTATCATCATTCCGCTGTCTTGTGCGACGAGTATAACTTGATATTTGTCTCTCTCTTCGTGATCTAATACTACTTTCGTTAAAATTGTTCCGGTAAACGGGTCGACGGCAAATATGTCGTGATGCTCGCCCTTGAGCGAATACCTTTAATTAGAAAAGTTAATAAATATATTTGTTTATTAAGTTATTAATTAGAGATTTATCAGTTATTAGTTTTAAAAATAATTTAATAAATTAAGGTGAAAAAGAGAAAACACCTATGAGAAGATGGATTGAAAATGTAGAGATTGACATGATGAAGAGAAGATTGAGAGATGAAGATTGGTTAAGTAGAAAAAGTGGCTGTTAGAAATCGGGGTATGACTCCGCATCATATAACCCTAAAGAAAGAAGAAACTGTCTTAAAAACACTTTAAAATTGATATAAAATAATGCAATAAGATGCTCCGTATTCAGAGTAAAATATTTATTACACATTTATTACACATAATAAATCATTAAAAATAAACTACTTTTATTGCCAAGCAATATATACTGTATTTTATAGTAGTAAGATAATAAATAAATTATCTGTTTCAAGAATTTAAAAACATGAATAACAAGTTGAAAGTATCCTTGATTAACAACTTTATGAGTTACCATTGTTTAGATGCTATCTAATTGATCTATATATTTAAAATCCAGAAATAAAAATAAAATTTTCAGAATTTATCTAGGAAAAGTTGCATAAAATTAAATTTAAAACTTTTTTAAAAATATAATTTACACTATTTTATAAAATTTGAATCTTATTCTTTGTATTTTCTTTTTTAAAATTAAAAAAAAAAATCAATGGAGGAAAGATCATTTATAAAGAGAAAACTGACAGTCAATAAAGTCAGAACGTCATCTTCTATAAATAATTTATAAAGGACATTACATGAATAAGTATAATAGATCATACATAAATGCTAACATAATGTTTAAATATTATCTATCTATTCTTTGATAATTTATGATATTTATTTGAACACTTGCAGTTTTTCTGTATACAGAATTTTTGACAGTTAAATTATAGATACATACTGAAATTTATGCCTTTGTGTCCTTATCGTATAGGTTTTGTACTTAAATTGTCAACAAGGACTTATAAATGTTATATGTTGACAATTTAAGTACAATTTATTTATAAGTCCTTGTTGACAATTTAAGTACCAAAACTATACAAGCATACTTTTTATATGTTTCCAGCATTAACTTTACACCAAACAAATGTTTTTTGCCCGATTTACAGGACGTAAAAGTGTTTGTATAATCTAACCAAAAATTCCAGCTTTTAGAAGACAGTTAAATTTTTAACAGTCATGGATATTCTAACTTGTTCAAATATAAAGCAACAGAGTATTATCTTATATAGATAGGTATATTACCATCTGAATTACTTCAGTCTATTTGTTATACGTGCTTTACAGTTGAACTAACCAATGCACCTTTAACAGTGGGTGAAGTTTAAAGAATGCTAATGTTTTTGACCCGATTAATGGGCCATTTTATATCATGGATGATTGAAAGTATATTCTGAAAGTAGATTATGCTTTTGACTGTCCAAACTTGAAGACGATCCATTAACTGGATCAAACACGTTAGCATTCTTTAAACTTCATCCACTGTTAAAGGTGCGTCGGTTAGTTCAGCCAAGTAACCAATGGATAGTTCATCCTTGCATGCTTTATATTTTGGTGTGTACACGTTATACAAACTATTATAGATTTATATCAAATAGACTGTTTACTATATATATCACTGATTTTAAAAATAATTATAACTATATAAAACAGAAAAAAATAAATTCCGAGGTAAATTCATGATGATATTTTGATATATTTCACGATAACAAAATATAACTGTTTAAGTTTTACTGATTAATAAATTAATTATTAACATTTAACATCTTTTTTTAATGGAATATATTCAAATAAAATGCCTTCAATTATTAGTACTTTTGTATAAATAATACTGAAACAAATGTATATACTTTAAAAATCTAAAACAAAAATAGTTGAAACAAATATTATTTAAATGTGTAGAGAAATTTGTTTTGTAAGAGAAAAGTTGTAGTATAAAAACATTTTTATACAGATAAGAAACTTTAAAGGTACATTTTACACTTTTTCAGCACACAAATTTTAGTAAAACAAATGTTTTCAGGTTGCTTGATTAGAATATTTTATTCTAAAATTATAATCTCGGTTTAAATTACATTCTGTAACATTTAACCTGAAGAAGGCCTATCGAACAAGCCGAAAATGTTTATTTTATTAAAATTTGGATGACGGAAAAGTGTGAAAAGTGTCTCTAAAGTCTTTTCATACTGAAGAACTTCCTGCATTAACTTGTTATATGGTGAATATCATAAACTGTAGACTGTTTGCTATAACTTTGTGCACACTTCCATAAGAAAGTTTACAAAAGCAGTACTCTTTGCTGACAATTGTTTCTGGGATCAAATTTATAATAATTAACAGATGTTAACATTTCTATTAAGATGCTGTTGTTGCTTACACAATGAGATAGATAATGTGGAAAGATACTGTACATTTTGTAGTATACAATGATGAGATAGCCACTTTGCTTCTTTGTTTGCTTCTTAATAATAATTACAGACAATATTTTTTATTAACAATGAGTATTGTTAATAAAAAAATATTGTCTGTAATTATTATTAAGCATTTACATACAAGATTATTTAATATTAATCTGATATCTTACCTAATCAAGCCATTTCTGCCAGTATCGGCATCGACGGCAGTTATCGTAATTACGGGTGAATTAACTGGAAGGTTTTCCATTGCGGTAACCATGTATTTTTCTTTATCAAACACTGGTTTGTTATCATTTACATCGTTCACAATTACAGTTACCGTACCTGTGCCAGTCTGCCTAGGTGTTCCTGAAAATAAAATTTTTTAAAATTAATTATTTTTTTCAATGGTTTGGCATTTTGTTAAATTATAATTTGATTTATTTTATTAACAAAATTTATGAAAATACAGGTTATATATGAGGATGAAGACAGAATAAATTGGACTAGCGACATTGAAGATTGGATGCGTGTCTTATGAGAACTGCAGCAGGGAATTAGTGGAAATTTGTGTCATCAACCTCCTAGGCAGAGATGACTGTTAAGAAAGGAAGGAACTTTAAACAGTACATCTACCACTTTTTATTAGAAAATACTATGAAAGCTACATTTATAGAGACAAAGTAAACAAATATAAATTGAAACGAGCAGACATTTATACAATTTCTTCAGACGTCAGAGTAATAAAAAAAAAGAGCCGACATTTATTCTACATCATTGTCAATATTTATTATGAAAACTTTCTAGTTGTCTGCGAACAAACGAACTTGGGTATCTGTCAGAAGTCGAACCGTTTTCAATTTATGAAAGACAAACATTACTGTTTCATACAAATATAGTTAGATTATTGGAAGAGTTTTGCAAACTTTGTAGAAACTGGTCAAACTGGTCGTTCGTAACGACTCTGCAGTTATTGGTATGTCAGTGTGAACATAGTTTGAGCTAATTCTATGTAAATGCGAAGGGAACAAAATTTTAATTTCGTGTACTGCACATAATTGAAATGTGTAGGGAATTTTAACTTTAAAATTGTTTTCAAATCCCAAACGTTTAGTAATTTATCATAGTTGATGGATGATTTTTCTGTCAATTTCTGGTTTTACTTTTTCTTATTGATGATGAAATTCATGTCTTCATAAAGAATATATAATTGTTAAATGCATGGAGTTATAAATATTTTATCATCTTTGACCAAAGAGAATAAATTTATTTTTATATTATTGATTTATTTAAATAATGAAAAATAAATGTTGACATTGTTATCTAAAACAATTAATTATATGTTTACAAGTTCATAAATATTTCTTTACTGCTACCAGCACTGACATCAACAACCAGATGCTTTAATTTGGTATGCTCTTGTGGCAGCAAATGGTTGTATGCGCATCGTCAATTTTATTTTAATAAATTTGTTATTAGCGACTGTTTTCTAATATAATTGGAAGGAGAATGAAATTCCTTTTAAAAATGTCAATTGTGTGATTATTTTTTGTATAACAATATATAAATGCCAAGAGAAGTGAATATGCCAAACAGATAGCTGGATTCTTTATTGGACTATGAGGCTAAATTTTTACTAAGTAATTTGGCAGAAGTCTGCCATCTCTTGTAAAATATAATTGGGAGTTCTCAATTGATAGCAGAAAGTACTTACCTTATATCTGAGTTCTTTTATTGGGCTATTATAGCTAAATAATTACTAAGTAATTTGGCAGAAGGCGTGCTGCCAGGCTGCCATCTTGTGTTAAATATAATAATTATAAATAAATTATAGAATAATATGAAACTAAAGATCGGAACTCGAACCCGTAACTCCTGCTTACTGTTTAGATACGCTGCCAATTACTCAACCCAAATATCTGCCCGATCTTAATTTATAATAATATATTTCTTTATAATTATTACTCTATGTCTAATAAAAGATGGCTTGGCAAGGTGGTGCATGTATAGTAAAACCTGTTTAAACCGGAATCACATATTTTTCTCTGTTTGGCAGGTATCTGTTTCGAACAGGTTCTTTTTCTAACATAGAAAATCGCTCTGTTTCGAAGAAGTTTTTCCGTTTATACAGATTTCCTTATTATTCAGGTTCCGTTTCGGACAGGTTTTACTATAATTACTGAATTCTAATACAATTTTATAAATTTCTTCCGTTTTGTAAGTTCATTTCAAGTAAAAACCGCTTTTAAAAGTAAAATTCATCTACAGCTGTACGTGAATGAATTACAAAATCTTTGTTGAAACACTTAAAAACCTTTAAAAAATGCTCCATAACTTAATTTAGAGGGACCCATTTTTTGTCTTTTTTCTTCTTAATGCATGCAATTTAAGTATAAAGTACTTTAAAGTAACGAAGACCTATCCATAATCGTGTTTGGGTACACATTTAAATGGAGAGATTGAGTGCTGAATAAACTGCAAGAATATACATTAAATTAATAAAAAAATCCCTAAAATTTATTTAATAATACAACTTAAAAAGAAAAGTTCTTTCCCTTTTTCAAAGTATAGGAAAAATCTGTGGAAAACGGAACTCGAATAAAACGGAAACCCGTCTAAACGGGAAAAATTCATTGGAACAGATGATTTTATGTTTAAAAAAACTGTTCGAAACGGAAACCTTCCTAATCGTACGATTCCGGTTTACGCAGGTTTTACTGTATATTTTACACTTTAATAATAACACAAATCTATCTGCAGCTATCTTCATGCGTATACATCTTACACGGATTCATACACCTTAAAGGTTAAATATGCTTGAAAATCCTTAAAATATATAAAAAAAGTAAAACCTGCGTAAACCGGAATTGCATGGCACTTAATACATTTTTCAGTTTAGCAGGTTCCGTTTTAAACAGGTTTTTTTTAACATAGAAAATCATCTGTTTTGAAGAAAATTTTATGTTTAAACACGTTTATTCAGGTTCCGTTTTAGACAAGTTTCACTATAATAAAGTTCCTTAAGAAGGTAATTTAAAAGGAATCATTTTGCCCTTTTTTTTCCTTTTTAAAGCATTTAATTTATGTGTAAAGTCCTTTAGACGAATGAAAATTCATTTATAATCATGTTTAGGTGTATATTTAGATGGATTCTATTATATATATTCTAGAACTGTATATATATATAATTCTAGAATTTGCTAAATTGCTTCAATGTAAACTAAACTTACAACTGCCAAAGAGAGATCCGCCCAAATTGTGTACTTTACTAAAACTCATTGTTAAACCACCTACTGTCATGCTGCATTGTGAAGATAATTTGTTACATTTATCTCATCCTCTTATAAAAAGTCATTTTATTTTATCATTTGTCTCTATTTTCTACTATCATTTGAACAAATTAGATTAATTATATAATGTTAAACGTTTACTAACTTTCTGTTTCATCGAATAATACTTTCCATTAATCATCAACACGCTCCTTTAATTTAAATCATATTCTGTTTTAGGTAAATATTAAACATATTTTTTAAAAATATGTTACTAAGTGATTAATGTTTCGAATTTAATTTACCTAAAAATTTAATTTTAAAATTTAATTTTTTATAGTTTTATTTTTGTTATTTTGTGCTTAAATTTTAGGAAATACATATTTTACAACGAGATTAGTTATATATTTGAATAATATTAAGTTTAATCGGTTGTTTTTCTGATTTTTCGCTGTTTTGCATTCCTCTTACTCGTTAAATATAAACTTTTCTTTTTTTCGTATTTTTTAACACGAGTAAATTTTATGTAATATTCCGATTTTGTTATGTTCTGTGTTCAGATATTATTTCTCTGTTTCTCTAGTCCTGTTTTTTACCTAATATTGATCCCTACTAATTTTGTTTTGATATTGTATCGTTCTGGTTCTGTTGTGTTATTTCGTTCTAATTCTGTTCTGGTATTGCTTCATTCTGGTTCTGTTCTGTGTTGCTCTGTTCTGCTTCTGTTCTGTGTTGTGTTGCTTCATTCTGGTTCCGTTCTGTGTTGCTTCATTCTTATTATGTTCTGTTTTGCTCTGTTCTGCTTCTGTTCTGTGTTGTGTTGCTTCATTCTGGTTCTGTTCTGTGTTGCTCTGTTCTGATTCTCTTCTGATGATGTTTCGTTCTGGTTCTGTTCTGTGTTNAAAAAAAAAAAAAACTATAGTAAGGAAATCACTGAAAAATGCATTTTATAGTTGAAATGTATAAATAACCATAATAGAATAATAATTGATAAAAAAATGTAGTTTTATTTGCACTTTACCTTTGAGGATAGATGGTGGAGGTGTAAACTGGTGGCGGAAGAGAGGGAGAAGGGAAATGATACTAAAACTTAACTTATATAACATAATGTAAAGATAACTTAAAAATAACTTAACACCAATTTTTTAATCTTTTCTGTTTTATATATATTTTTAATTTTTTATTCACTGCTTTTTGCTTAATTTCCTTCACTTCCACCAGCACTTTCACTGGATAGAGGTTGCTTGGTAAAATATCTATTCAAAGATGTTTGGCTTTGCCTACTTTTTAAAATGTTTCTAAAATGGCTTAGGCAAATGTCATTAAACTGAGCAGCAATATGGCCAGTGTGAACCTTTTTGGGATGTTTCTTTTCAATAAAATCAGTCACTTTCTGATAATACCTCAAGATTTCCTTTATCGAGCGAGATCCTTCCACGATGAAGCAAACATGCAAACTGAGACCAATGAACAGAAGTGAATAAAAAATGGTGCTGCAAACTAATGTAACGTCGTATGGTGAGTTTTTGTTTGTATCGTGGAGCAAAAATATGTTTGAATTTCGTATCGTATCCTGAAAATTTCGTATGCTGGGGCGTTCGTATCCCAAGGTACCACTGTATATTAACAGTAAGTTATGCAAATTTGTCTTTAAATTTGTTATGCGACCATTTTTTTCCAGCTATTGAATCATAAATGTTTACTATCCCTTCAGGACTTTTGCAAATCTTGATGTTCTGATATCCCACTAAACCCAAAAAAATATAAAAATGGGAAAAAATTCTCTTGATATGTATGCATGGGCCTCCATTTCATTGAATATCTCAGGAAGGGGTAAAGTTTAAGAAATGAAATTTGGCACGGTAACTTATATGTAAGGGGCATTGATGCTATTAAATTTTGGTGGTTAAGGGTCGAGGGGGTGGGGAGATCTCGAGTGGGGTCAGAATTAATGAGAATTTCACTTGTTAGTTTACCATTGTATTTGAAATTCCTTGATTAAGTAACTGAGACGTACAAGTACTCTAAATTTTTTAATATTATCATTGCCTTGCAATGTAGACACAATATTTCTATAAAGACTGCTTTTGAAAAAAAAATCAGAAGATGAATAAATGAACAGTGAAAGAACATCTAATAAAAATTATTTTTTATAAAATAAAAATTAATGGAAGGACAGGAGGTGGTGTGCTGATCTTTTTTCTTAGATTATTTCTAGGTTTTGTCAGGTTAAAGTTGTTGAGAGATAACAGATTTATGTAGTGCATACTTGTTACTACTACTAAGCTTGCCGACTCCTAAAGAGCCAATTCTGGAAGTTTTCTGTTCCGGGAGTAAAAATTTTGGGAGATTTGATATCTTTTTACTGTTGACAACATCAAAACACTATTGCTTATTCTTAGTCTGATAATCATCTCATTGAGGGACAAGCTTCGATTCAGAAATCCAAGAATTTAAACATTTTCGCCAAATTCTAAAAGCATCCTGGTAAATCCGAGAAAATTGGCAACTTCTAATCTTTCTTTTCTTAAATCGGAAAGAAAAAAACTTGTTCTAATTAATTCAGTTTAGATAAACTAGTAATTAGAAATTCTGAATTAATGAATTTTGTCATTTGCATTATTTTTATCAAATTCAAATTCCAAAAATAAAGTAATAAATTACTCTGGTGTCAACTGATAATTTAATGTCTTTTAAACTGTATCTAAATTCTATTTAGACAGCAGATTCTGACCTAAATTAGTATGAAAGCATTTTCTTTTCTGATAAAATATAGCTTGGTTTCGTTAATCCAGCAATGTAATTTTGTCATTTATACAATATTTATTGCTTACTTAATATATACGATATTCACTGAATAATTTAAACAATATTCATAGATAGAATGACGAATAATCTACTTACTGACAAACTCAAGACCCTACTAGAAATAACAATAGCTCTTGAAACACACAAAATGATCAATAAAAGTGTGTGAATGTAAGATGATACAAATGAACTTGTTGATAAAAGTATTTGAAGTATTTCAAATGATAATGATTGGTTTCATTTAATTTTAATAGATGTAATTTAATATGAATTAGCCTATTTTAATGAGTATTACATATTACATGATATCAGTTGACAATAATAAGATGATATGGCAAATGGAAACCATTGATTTCATTTAATTTAACATTCGGGAATATCAGTAGAACATCAAATGATATAAAAACTCGTCTGTTGATTTGTAGTCCGGAAGTATTCATCAGAAACAATGGCCATTTGTTCATTACTAGTTGTTTGGTGTTTTCGCTACATATTTATACATATTAATACAGTAAAACTTGTGTAAACTAGACTTGCACGGTACCGAATATTTTTTGCCTGTTTAATCAGGTTTCTGTTTTATTCGGATTCTATTTTGGACAGGTTTTACCACATTTATGCTGTATTTTTTGTACATAAATTATTCTTTGCCAAATTTTGTTGCTATTATGTATCTTCTGTCTTATTCTCTTTTTAATTCCTCTTTGAAATTTTCTGTTTTTGGACTACTAAACTGCACTATTTAAATTTAAATGGTAATTATAATAATAGTTCATGAATCTGTGATCCATGAATGCATGAAGCATAGATAGCTCCTATCCTATCATTGTGATTGTAGTTCATATATATTATTAGTTGTAAATTAGTAAAGATTTTAAGAAATTCACTAGGGGAAAAAATAGTTTGAACTCCTTTATAATCTATTATTTTCATAACATTGTATAAAAAATAGCAACAATATAGGAAGATGCTATTTTTCATAATACATTTTGCACTGATATAAAATGTAATTGTTAGTCTTTAAATCGCACCTATTTTCTTGTATTCAATGTCAGATTATCTTACAAAAAGGAATTCCAACTTGCAGAGATCCAAACAGAAAAATCCATTTAATAAGTTTGAAATGAATGCTTCTGTTAAACTTCCATCGCTATCATAAAAATCCGGATTTTCTCCCGCTAAAATTGCACTCATGCCGAAACTAAATTCCTCATTCTTCTCCATAAAACACGAAGATTAAAAAAATATAAGACTGTCGCGTCTTTCGGAGGTCTTTATTAATGATGTAGACCTATTTCCAAATCAGTTAATTTAATGAACTAGAGGATGAACAACCAGTTTAATTTATACAAGTGGTTGTTGATCCATTGTAGTTCTTTCAACTTTAGAGTTGATCTAACTAATCTGTAAATGTTTATCTGTTTAATAAATAAACTTTTTTTTTATCTCTGATCAAACTGGTTAATTAATTACAAGAATAAATAATATTATCCCCGTAGTTGATATGTAAAAAATTGGGTTAGTTATGAATATATGCAATATGATTTTAACAAAAAAAAAATAAACTATATTATACTCATTAATTGTATATTTTGAATGTCAGTACCTTTGCTTCTTTGTTATTTAAATTCTGTTTAAATCATTTCACCAGTTAATTTGCATTAATTGGTGTTGTCGCACAGATCTTTCACTGGAGTGATTATATTTAGCAAAGGAAGCTTTATTAAAAGAAATAAGGAATTTTTCTTTATAATTAACATGAAATTTTATTAATTTGCTTGAAATTATAAAGATTAAGTACTTTATTTTCTTGTTTTTTTTAATTCCTTTTTATTTACTTTACTTTTATAAATATAAGAAGCATTACTGTGTTGGAAACATTAATTATAAGCTATTCTGGCATTTATTCCAAAAGAATTTGCTTTAATAATTCAAATTTCCTTTATTGCTTATAAGCAATTAGTTTCAACTGCATGTGAAGTATCAAAGCAAGGTTTTTGCTTTAATTCTGACTGTAAAACAGGCAACAAACTACCAAAGAAAAGACCAAAAAATCCTGATTTAGTAAAATATACTTATTATCTATACAGTAAAATTGCAGTTATGAATGAGAGGTTTGGACCCTCCCCAAATTTTTGCCCCTCTAACATGTTTACAGCTCTAATAAGGTTCCAACAGCTTTATTCAGAGCTGAATTTGTATCTTTTATACCGTATAATAATACATTTAACAGTTTTAAAATCAGTTTCAAGTGTTTCATTTCTTAGACTTTTCTGGTGTGCCCATTTTTTCAATATCTACATACAGTTAATTCAATGTTAAAATCATGGAAAATTACATAAATCAGCATAAAATAATGTAAAATTTAAGTAGCAACGATGTTTTAACTTACCCGAATCCAAATCTGTAGCAGTAACTTGTATGACACTGGTTCCAACTGTGACGTTTTCAAAAATTTCATCGCTGTAACTCATGGGATCGAATAAGGGTGCATTGTCATTTAGATCTAGAACGTTGAAATAAACTGTAACAGTTGTAGACAGACTCGGTTGTCCCGAATCTTGAGCTTGAACCACGAAAATGTAATGCTGAACCTGAATTTCATAAGTAATGTATCATTATTAAGAACACCAGGAGTGTTACGAGTATTGTAATCGTAGTTACCTGTTCGTAATCGAGATGCGAAGTTAAAGTAAAGATCCCAGTTTGAGGATTTAAAGAAAATACGTCGTTTCCCCAATCACTTAACACGCTGTAGCTTACTTGACCATTGATTCCATTATCAGTATCGGTAGCAACTACTGTTCCTATTTGAGCACCCCTCTGCATGTCTTCCACGATATCGAACGAATATGCAAACTGCTCGAAAACTGGAGGATTGTCATTTGTGTCGATGACCTATTCATAAGATTTCTACATAAGTATTTAAAATGATACTGTATTTGGGTGCCGTTCAAGTATTGCATCAGCAAAAATTTGCCCTTTTTTTAAATCCCCCTTCCCATCATCATCACCAACCATCAGGAATCAAGGTGGCCCTCCTCCTAATTATGTCATCAGGTCAGAAGTTTAAACCATTTGCAAATACACAGGAATTATTTTCAGGCAATTTTGTGATGATTAGAGAGAAAAATAAACGACGGTTGCAATCTTACGTCATCAAAGATTAACTCTGGCTCCCCCCTATTGTCATGCAGATACAAACGAATCCCCAACATAAACCTCTGACGTGATACTTGAACGGTCCATTTAACAAAATTATGTACAGTAGACTCCGCTTAGTGTAATCATTTTATGATTCGCCTGAACTGATAACACCATGCAAAATAAGTAAATAACACTACAATTAGAAGACATTTTGGTGTGGTTGACTCTTAACATTAAAATGGCACGTTAAAACAATTTTAAAATGTATATAACGTGAAGAAATAATTCATCCGGTAGGCCTATTGTTTATATCCAATAATTTTAAAGCAGTAGTTTTATCAGCCACATTAAAAAAAGAAGGGCCTGTTTACCCAAATATAATGGATGTATCTAGGAAGCAGACAGCTAAGAAAACCAATGGCATAGTCCATTTCATAGGAAACGGATTAAGGATACAGAATAGAGCTTTATAAATAGGGATATATAGTGTAGTTGTATACTGTCATCCTTCCATTGTGAATCCTTCATATACCAAGCTGTACGAAGGACTTGGTTTAACATATTCAAATACCACGATTATTAATTTATTTAGCGTTAAAACAGATTTGGATCCACAAAAGGATCTGAATATACAAAAATCTCTTCATTATTATGATTAATTTATTCGTGAGAATGGTAAAATAAGAATAAGAGTTACATGAGTTATCAAAGTAGGCCTTTAGATCTCACTAACACGAAAGATTTCTGAAAATTTATACTTAATATATTAACTACAACTATTAAGAAATGCTTTTATATCAGTTGTGTGCAGAAAATATTAATAATTGAAGAGAAATAAACACTTGATACCTCGATAGTGACTGTCGTTTCGGACGATTGAACTCCATCACTAGCGCTAACCAGTAACTTGTGTAAGGATGTTACTTCACGATCCAAAGGTTCTCGTAATAGAAGAACTCCAGTTTTAGCATCTAGTTGAAACAAATTGTTGTCTTTATTCTCTACAAGAGAATAAGTGATACTTCCTTCTGTGTCTGCATCTGTTGCAGAAACCACGGTGACGGTGTGGCCAGGAGGAGCATCTTCAGACAGAGAGATGAGGTAAAGAGCGTTACGGAAGACGGGTGGACTATCGTTCCTGTCTAGGACTGTTACGATAACCTAAAATTATAACAGAAAAACCATTTTTTTAATATAAAATTCTGAAAATCTATTGCTGTTTATGTAATATTAGATTTCTTAATGAAGGATCTCATATAGAAGCGCGTGGATGTTACTGTGTTAAATGGTAAACTTATAGATAATTATATTCATATTTTAAGCCGCGTATCTAAATCCAAAATAGCAATTCGACACCCCCAAAACTACGATCAAACGTAACACCGATCAATGGTGAAGGATGAAAGGAAATTGGGATGATTTCTCATATTGTTAATCGTTATACGAGTAAGAGGTAGCCTTTTGGTTCTCTGAGTATGTATGGTTTATGTTATGGTAATCATTGGAAGATGGTGTTTTATTGTATGGGCTCATCAAATGTGGGGATAGATGTTGATACTTGGGCTTATTTTACTGCTTGCAACTATGTTACTGCTGTTCCTACTGGGATTAGTTGGTTAGCATTGGAAAAAATATTTAAAGAAGAGGTGCGACTTCATTGCTACACATCATAGACACAGGGAAAACTCTTGTTTCATTACGTGTCTAGTTACACAGAGATAGTATTTTTATCATCTTATCAGCAGTGTTTCCTTCTACACACTTCCTTTAAATAAGTTAATTGCTACTTGTTCGTTTACATTTGACACCTTTCAGCTAAAGTTTCATCATCTCCGTCTCTTTTTATTGATTAAATAAATATCAGATGATACACATCTTCACTCATTATCTTACTTTTCTCTTTTCAGATGTTTAATTAAAATTCTAATGTCATTAAGACCTAACCTAAATATTTACTTTCCTTTGTAAAATCTGCACCTTGCCCTTTCTACTATTCTAATGACCCAATTTATGGTAGTTTCAACCACTCCACATAGATCCGTACTCGGTAGACAATCCAACCAATATTCCTGTCAAAAATATAGGATGGACCAAAAGTCAGTTAACCGTATTTTATGCAAGCCCTCGACAAGATCTTATATTTAACAAATTTTGCAAAGTTTTTAACTAATCAAGTATTTTAACAAGACAGAAATGCAGTATTTATAATGGTTAAGCGACTTCTGGGTCACCCTTTTATATACACGGATTCATCATGTTCCTCAGGTAGAAGTTAGAGACATATAAAAGATTCTTTAACTTTTTCATATATTTTACAACATAATTATGTTCATATTTTTATGTATATAATGAGACATGCCCTATATTTTGGCCGACTTTTGAAAATTCCAAAATATTGCGAATGCCCTTTATTTTAAGGATACCTAGAACAGTAATTTCTGCTACTGATATCCCCCAAAAGTAATTTCTGCCACTGATATTCCCCAAAACAGTAATTTATGCCACTAAAACCCCCCTAAAGGTAATTTCTGCCACTGATATTCCCCAAAAAGTAATTTCTGCTACCGATATTCCCAATGATTAATTTTTTTTACTGAAATTTATATTTTCTACATTATTTTTTTTAGGAATAGGCATGTAAATTAAAACAATATTTGCTAACAATTCATTTTATTTATTGTGTCCTAAATTTAGGAGTAAAGTTCCTTCTCCTTCACTCAGTCACCTCTACTTACATAATCCTTAAATTTATATTCAAATAGATTTTTAATTTAAAAATATTACATACTCATAAGAGAGATCAATGACGAATGGATCTCGGATGACCCAGAAAAAAATTACTTACCTACGTAACAAAATTATAAATTACGAACAGGTGCGAAAGTGTATAAATCGACAATAATCGAAAGATAATTTTCTAGAATATAAAATTAAAAAAAAATAAAATAAAATAAAATTGAAGCTTGGAGTATTAATTCCAACCGGAACCTGAAATAAATCTTCTCTAGAACATTTTCAAAATAATTCATAGATCTAATAAAAATATCTATAAAGCGATTCATCGACACGAATACACAATGGCTAATAAATAAGCAGCTAGTAAGACTCGATTAATTTTTTTCTAGTTTTTTTTTTCTTGTATTTTTATAGCGTTGGGTAGGTTTTGAAGCTGGCGTCGAATTCCAAGTTCAGTGGGGGGTGCAATAAACCAGTAGAAGAAGCATAAAGAAACATCTTCAGTGTCAGACGATGTCTCGGATGAGTGTGAGCAACCAACTACCTCATTAACCAAAGTCGGGTTTTGCAAAAAAGAAAAAAGAAAAAAATAAGAAAAAAAGTATTTTTTTGCAAACCACGAAAGAGTCTTTTACGACTTGGCATCCACCATGTGTGGGAACTACCAATGGGGGGGTGGAAAATCCAGATTGAATCAGACGATCCTTATGTGAATCTAGATAACGACTCTCTCTCTCTCTCTCTCTCTCTCTCTCTCTCTCCCTCTTTTAAGGGAGGTCGCCGTAAACCGATCGACCAATCGGCTCCAACAAACACGAAACGAGTGGTCCTGCCGCAGGAGGTGAATTAATACGTGAGGTTCTGCTCCCCCTCTTCGTTTTGCAACCCCTGAGCAATTTGTCGGACTGATCGTAACCTGGGCTATATAAGCGAATGTTACTAAAGCCAACGAGTTGTAGGTATTGTCGGTTATCTACCGCATAATCATTTGTCATTAAAGTGATCGAGACGACTCTCTACCTTTGCATCTCCCCCCTTTTTTATTTTCTTTTTTTTTTTAATTTTTATATTTTAATAAATTTCTAATTTAATTTCGGTCCATAAAATCAGCCAAGGTCGTTTTTAATTTGATGACTAAGCGAGTAAATACGAAGAATTAACACGTCCAATTTATGAATGAAATGGTCGAGGATTCGTGTGGAATTGTGCACGATTCTTTGTTGGCGAGCAATTGTAGAGATTCCGCATTTGTTAACTATAGAATCTTCTAAAATTGTTCTTCGAGTATTCGGAAGATTATCTAATTAATCGTGAAGTTTGTAAGATTGTTCTTCCACAAAGAATCTTCTGTGGTTCCGCAGTGGGCAAGAAGAATATCCTGCAGTCGTGGAGGATTTTTGTACAAGAACAGCTGTAGAAGATTCTTATGTACACAGTGGAATTGTGGAGGATTCTTCGTTGGAGACCAATTGTAGAAAATTCCACGATTGTTAATCGTAGACTCTTCTTTGTACTGCGGAAAAATACTTCCAGAATTGTTCTTCCACAGATTCCATAATTAACACAACTATTAACAGATATTTTTTTAAATTACGAGATGGAGAATTCTGGAGATCTTCACGATTATTCAACATGAAAGCGTGAATTTCTGAATAATTTACAGAAGAAAAAAACAAATTAGAATTCTAGCTTTCTTGTTTTTAAATTAAGGAAATATGATTGATCGCACGAATAGTAACGATTAACCTTTAAATTGGTTAATTAAATGATATGCTCGAACAATTAGCATCAATCGATTTTTTCCTCTCTTCTTCGAGTATTAGTAATGGTTTATTAAATTTCAGGATATAGAAGACGTTACGACGACAGTTAAGGGCCTGACATTTTTAAATTCGTAAAGAAAAGGGCCTCTCAAATGGCCATAAGTCCGAATTCGGGTCTGTTTACGTATATTAGACCGTAGGAGCCACAAAATTTGCAAGCTGAGGCATGAAAACGTGAAGATTTATACACGTTACGAATGGAATCGGGTGTTCGATTTGTTAAATTTTTATATAATTAAATATTGGGGAGAGCAAAGGGCGGAAAGTAGGTTGCAACGGTAGGCATTCCACTGATGTTAACAAACGGAAAAGGTTAAGTTGAGTACAGATAAACTAAGTATACGGACGATATTCCATATAGAACTTATTGAAACCTTCCAAGGTCGGTAAGAAATGCCTGGAGGTAGTTCACGGCTATTCTATCGCACCGTGCATCAGCCCGTCAGACGGCCATTGCAGTGCTATTCGATCTCTTCTGCAGACCGACTAATTAGAGCTAACGGCCTCGGGTGGTTTTAACGAGTCCTGTCAAAACGGCCCGTCTTCCGATCTGGAGGTGACACACCCCGTGAGTGACACGATAGACCCTCAGTCTAACATCCCCTTCGTCCGGGCCGGGACCCCTCCCTGAGTAGCTCGTTTTAATCAGTTCTGATCGCTGAGTCTCGGCTATGCCAAGAATGTAACTTTCTAGTTGACATTTTAGCCTCACGCGGGCCCAAAACGACTGACCCGACAAAGGAAAGTCACTCGTGACGTCCGACGTTTACTGAAAAAAAAAATATGCCACGCCATCTAAAATGATATTAAATTCCATATTTTTAACGTATTTAAACCGTTAAAATATATATATTTTTTAAGCGTGTTTTTAAATGCCGAATTTAAAATACTCTAAAAGAAATAAAATATTTTGGATACATTTAAAGGGAATTTATTTACTAAAGATAATAAATTTTCGAGTTATCTACTTAGTTGTATTCTTGATAGAATTTAATAGAGGAGCATCGACACGAGAATGACAAATCGAAAAGTCAAGATGTCGACCCCGACTCAGAATAGAAGGGCGAAGAGTGACGTTGATAAGATAGAAAAAAGATTATAAATTCCGAAGCATTGAATGAATATCTATCATTAAATAAATAAATAAAAAATACGGGCATAGTTTTATATATAAAAATTCCTCCAAGCTCCATAACATCACCACATTGATGTTGTGGAGCTCGGAGGAATTCTTGCATGGATCCATCATCCATCATCATCAAGAAACATAATCCACTTGAGGGAAAAACCATTATCTTTGTTGCTCCAATCATCAAAAATTCAAACAAGGCGTTATAAATTGTGATATATCCACTTTAAGAGCGGATTTTCTGGAATTTTTTTTAATCTTTTTTTTCGGGATAAAAATGGTTCCTCCGATCTTCGGAGATTTATCAGATTGGAGTAATTGATTCCCCGCGCCATTATTGATGACGAAATTAATAAGATCTGGTCCGTGATTTTTGTGAAAATTAACATCGTCTTTAATTAGAAATAATGACTCTGATCCAAACCGATCATTATAGAATGAATCGTTCCCCCTTGCTTTTTTTTCTTTTGATA